CTACGGTATATATGTTGTAGCAGCTTCCGCAATAAACGAGACTTGATCAGAAACCTGTCTTGTCTCCATCTCTCGTGTCCCCTGTCCCCTCTCATCCTCGCTCCCCCTCTAGGGTCTCCGTTGACTTACCCGCGGGCTGGGACAGGAAACAGTCCAAGTACCCATCAAGTGAAGAGTGGGTAAAGAAGATGTAGTTTTTTTATACAATGGCATACCTCTCTAAGAATGATAAGCTAGAGACATTTCTAGCTAAATGGCTGCACCTTGAGACCATACTCTTCAGTGACATAAATCGAACATTTTCAAATATCGCATGGTTTCTCTGGTGTGAGAAACCAGAAGTGTAAATAAGGACCAAAATGTATAATAGATATTGGGAAATAGGAAGAACATGTTCATATGAGAAGGGGAACAAGGGAGGGAGGAGGGAAAGGAAGGAAGGGACAAGAAAAAGTAGATTAGGCAGAAAAAATGGAAACAAAGTTTTTATAAATAATGAGAGGAAGAGCGGTTGAAGGTAGGGGAAGGGCATGGGAAAAAAAGGAGCAAGCTATATCATGTACAGGTATAAACCCCTATGATGAATGTGATCATTATATATATCTAAAATGAATACATGTTTGTCCAGAGAAGATACACAATTGGACAAAAAGTACACAAGAATCAAAAACAAAATGAGTGGCTTTTCTAATGGAAAGTGTAAAACAGCAAGTGATGGCAAGTATGAGGAAGAACTGTAACCCCTTGTGCACTGCAGCTGGGGATGTAAAATGATACAACCACTGTAGGAAACATTAACATAGAATTGTTATACCTACCAATCCTACCCTAGGTGCATATCCAAAGAACTAAATAGAGATGCCAACAGATATTTAGCAACACACACAAGCAGCACTATTCACAACAGCTAAAATGTAGAAACAACTCAAATGTTCATCAACAAGATCAGTGGATTATCAAAATGTGACACATACATTCTATGTATGTATGTCATAATGGCATATTTTTCAGCTTTAAAAAGAACAATATTCTGATACATGCTGGCACATGGATGAACCTTGAAAACATTAACTGAAAGAAACCAGAGACAAAAGGATAAGTATTACATAATTCTACTTATAGGACATACCTAGAATAGCCAAATAAATAAAGGCAGAAAACAGAATTGAGGTGATCAGGATTTGGGAGTTATTTAATGTTAGTGTTGTTTAAACTCTGTGTACAGAGTTTGGGATGATGAATAAGTTCTAGAAATGGATTATGGTGATGGCTGCACAACAATGTGAATGTATTTCCTGACACTGAATTATACACTTAAATGGTTAAGAGACAAATTTTATAGGTGTTTTAGCATAATTTTTTAAAAAGACACAATGAAATATTACTTTACATTCTGTAGTATGGCTATAAGACAGGCAACAAATGTTGATGATGTGAAAAATTGAAATCATCACACATTCCTGAATGTCAAATAGCTTCTATGGGAAATGACTTGTCATTTCCTCAAAATATTATAGAGTTCCTATATGACCCAACAATTCTACTGTTCAGTACATACTCAAAAGAAATGAATATATATGTCTACACAAAGACTAATAAGCATGAATTTTCATAACAGCATTATCATAACAGTCCAAAGTGCAAATAACTCAAATTCTATAAGCTCCTTAATGGGTAAGTAAAATGTGATACATCCATTGAATGGGATATTAGTCAGCAATAAAAGGGAATGAAGTATTAATACTTGTTACAGTATAATGAACCTTAAAAATATGCAACATGAAAGAAGCCAGTCACAAAAGAACACATGTTGTATGACTCCATTGATATGAACTGTCCACAGTAGGCAAATCTGTAGAGATCAGACATGTATTGGGGGTTGCCTAGGTACAGAGTGAGCTGGAAAAGGGGGAGTGACTGGTAATGGGGTGATGAAAATGATCAAAATTTCTTGGAAGGATGGTTGCTAACTTGAGAATATACCAAAACTAACTGAATTATATGCTTTAAATATGTGGATTATATCTCATTAACGCTGTTCTTTAAAGACAGTTAAAGGCAAAAAATAATAGTGTATATGGAATGTATTTAGTATTTAGAATTATCTAGTATGTTACAAATTGGTAAGAATTATGAAGAAAACTGGGAAAGTAGGAGAACAATGGGTGTGGTGAGAGTCTGAGTGATATGAGGAAGTTCTCACAGAGGAAGTAAAGACAGGAGAAGCCAATAGAAGGAGCCATGGGGAGTAAGGTTCCAAGTAGAGGGAATGCTCAACACACAGGCCCTGAAGCAGGATGCTCCCTGGCACATCTGAAGACTAGAAGAGGCCAGCATGATTAGAGATGGTAGAGAGGTGGAAAAGGGGTAGAGGCGTGGGGAACTTGTAGGTGAGGCCTTATGCTCTGTGGTGCACTTTGCTTGGGAGCCCCAGCAGGGAGAGGGGGAATAAGCTCCATGAATGAAAGGAGGCAAAATTAGAGAGCAATAGTGGCTTCCCACAGAGTCACAGTGAGACCACTCTAGGAACTGAGCTCTTGGGTCCTAGGTCAGGGAGGAGCTAGCAAGATTCCCTCTCCTTCCTCCCTGCATAGGCCACAGCATTGGGGCGGGGGCAGGACACCTACCCGGTCATTCTCTGTCTCTCGGCATGCCATCAGGATCACCTAGATAAGAGGGGTTGAGGAGATGGTAACTTGGGTTAGAGGAAACAGGGCCATGGGCAGACTCAGAATCCTGCCCCTCTCTCTCCCCCAAATCTGACCTTGACCCCAAACTCCCAGACCAGGCGCCAGAAGTCCAGCAAGGTGTGAGGCAGGGGTCCTTGTGTGGCGATGTAGGCCTGGCTTCCATCTGCACCCTGAGAAAGGCCCATTTACTATGAAGACCCTACTACCCCCCTTACCACACCCACTCCTCCCCTTTCCTTGACCACCATACTGACCCGAATGAAACTGCCATTGATGTAGTCGCCATGTCCCTCCTCCTGGAGCAGGGAGAGGATTGATCGTGTGTGGTCATCTGCCAGAGAGTAAGGTGAGAGACTTGGAGTTTGGGGTGAAAAGGGCATGAAAGCTGGCAGAGGAAAACACACACACAGCGCTGGTGGCCAGCGGGGTGTGTGCAGACACCTGCAGTGCGGCTGGGAGTGTGCGGAGGGGCACCTACTCTGTCCGAAGCCCAAAACTTACATGGCACCACATCTTTGTAGCGGTTCTTCCTCACGTTTCTAGGTAGATTGCCTGCCTCTGTGGAGCACTTTTCATCTGTCTTCCAGGCCGCTGAGCGGGCCCTGATGTCCTGGAGAGAGATACGGTAGGGTGTGTGAGTAGAAAAGGAGGAGAGATGAGGAAAAGAACCCGGTCAGCCCTGGACACCTAGGCGCTCATAGAAACGCACATCCTGGTGGAGGTCAGTGCAGTCTCTGCGCCACAGCCACGTCAGCATCGCCAGGACCCTACAGAAGTGAATACTATTCCTGACCTTCTCGCGCAGGTGAGAAAGCTGATGGAACATGTGATTGGGAGATTTGCCAAAGGTCCCACCCAGGAAGCACCGAATGAGAATCGAACAGAGACCTCTCAGTACCTACCTCCCCCACTCGCAGTTCATGCTACATTGTAAACAATAATAATGTAATTAAATAGGGACTGTGGCTGTGGCTCAGTGGTAGTGTGTGCAATGTGTTAATATACAAATGGTCATATTACAATATATAGTATAGCGAGTTATGATGTGTAACACGTTACTGATGTAACAAGACACCACGGGTACTTCATCAGGTAGTCATAATCACAGTGATAATGAATAACACCTGCCAAGCCGCCATTGTATGAAAGTCGCCATTCCGAGTCCTGCACTAATGTTCATGGGGTCATTTGAGCCCCCCTGGACACCTACGTGTCCAGGCAATGCCTCCCTCCTCACAAAGAAACCGAGGCCCACGCATGAAGGTGGCAGGCTGGGGAGCAGGGGGTGTACTCCACCCAACCATCCTCATAGGGCCCTCAGCGCTGTTCAGCAGCTGAATCTTCAGATCCCACACGGCTACTGACTGTTCTGTACATCTTCATATTTATGTTATATATTTTACATTTATTATGCATTTTAATTTTTATACTATTTCACATGTGTACATTTAATTTTATATTTATCTGTGCTACTTTGTTTACTAATGACTTACTGAATAACCATGGCTTTTTAATTAACAATTATGCTATCGTATTGTTTTATGAAGTTTTTTTGTGTAAACTGTCATTTAAAATCACATTTATTTTTATGTTTATATCCCATATTTCTAAATTAGACACATATATTGTGTTTACATATTTTCATAGTGCTCTTCTATGTTTGGTAATACGTTATTAAATTTTAATTATTTCATTACCTATAGGATGCTGTGCCTTCGGAGCTACATTAGCATTCATTGGGCTTGGCTTAAACTACTACCCATTGCTTAAGAATCTCTGTAAGTGGTGACAATGACATCTACGAAGTGAGTGTCAAGACCTTTTTACCCCCACCATGTACGTACTCTCAAGTCACTTGGGTCATTAACTTAAAGGAGAAACAGGCCAGACGAAAGAGTAAACCGCTCTGAGTCACAGCCCGGAGTAGTCCAGCGCTGATCCAAAATCGACGTCTTACCCTAGGCATCACAGGTTCCCGGTTCCTCTCTTCCCTGCGCCCAGTCCCTTAATGGGATCGCAGGTATTCCCAGGTCGCCTGGGGCCAGAGGTACTCCGCCCTTCCCAGCTACGCCCGCGCCAGCCCGCGGGCAGGAGGATAGTCCCGGGGACTCCTGAACCCCTTCCAGCCGGAGAGGACTCGGCCCTCTGGGGCTCCACAGGCCGAGAAGACGAGACTGCGTGCAGGAGCGACAGAAGTCCCGGGGTGGGGAGGGAAAAGGGCCCTGGAGCGGGGGACACCCAGGACAACCAGCGAAAGAGGCAGAGCCTAAGGTGCGCCTGGGACTGGGACATGGTCCGGCCGGGTCAGGGTGCCAGCTTGACGAAGCGCGCTGCCACTCACGCTGAACTCGCGGGCGAGGGCTGCCCCCTCCCGGCCGCCGCGCGCCTCCAGCCGCTCCAGGAAGCTCCGCACTGCGTCCAGGCTGCAGCTCATGGCGCTGCGCCGGGAGCAGTCCAGGAAGTGGGCTCCGCTCCAGAGAGCTTATAGTGGAGGCTGAGGCGCTCTTCGAGGCCTGGCCTCCCGCGGGAGCGCCGAGGGTTGGCAGGCACGCCCTTGGGCCAATTTCATTGGAGTTCGCCTGGCCCTGCCCACAGGCTGAGGGCTGCGGGGGGAGGGGGGAGGGGGGCGGGGCTGGGGCTGGGGCTCTGGCTGGGGCCTCAGGTCTAAATCCCGGGTCTTTGCTGTGAAGTGAGTCTTGAGCTGGCGCCCTGTTTGCTTGGCTTTGTTTTAGGTCTCTGAGGCCGGTTCGTTGAATCCTCACTGTCCCACAAACTCTTGCGCCCTCTTGGACCTGCCCCTAATCCTGCCGGTGTTCGCCCCAGCTGACCTCCAGGTGCCCGCTCTGGAGGGGTTTCCCCTGGCCCTACGCCAGGCAGGCTACATGGGGTATGAACCCAGGTGGTGCGCGGCAGTCAGAAGGTTCCTCCAGCTCCGGGACCCGTGGGCGGGGGTCTCACGCTGTCGCTGCAGCTGGATCGGAGGAAAGTCCGAGGAGGGGGGTGACTGAGAGGAAACCACCCTTTGTTTATAAAGATGGAGGGGAACCAGAAGCGTCTGGATCTGTGCATTTCCTAAGAGTCAATCTTTATTCGGGATCTGCTGGAGAAACTTGGTACGCCGGGATCCAGTCTTACGATCTCAGCCCTTAGTTTCTGGGAAACTGAGAACTGAGTCACTGAAAATGGGTTCCAGGGTTCGAGATGTTCTCCACACTTTTAAAGGGCTTTATCTGCCCCCACATCCAGCAGCGGCTGTCCCAGTTCTGGGGGACCTGGAGGGGAGGCTGCAGTGGATGGCTGCGAGAATCTGTCAAGGACAGGCCTGAGTGGATGGGTTAGTGCCTCACTGGCCTCAGGGAATTCTGAGGGGTGTCATTAAAGGTGCAGTCAGTGGACACCAGTTTGAGATTGTAGTGTCAGAGGGTAATTGTGGACTGGAGTTGTTCTTTAAGTCACTGGAGGATCAACAGGGTCATTGGTAACATGTCAGTTTAATTCATTAGAGGTCATAAGAGTGTTAGGGAAGGCCACCTTTGTTTAAAAAAGAAAGAAAAAAAGAAAAGGCTGGGTAGGAAGTGGTTTTGGCCTTGCTGTCTCTGGTCTCTGTCTCAGCTACTTCGTTCTGATGAGGCAGCACTGAAGTAGACAGACATTATGTAAAAAACAGTTGCTATATTCAAATAAAACTATTTATGGTTTTATTTGATCACCGAGCCTTGAATTTCATATAATTTTCCTGTCACAATTTTTAAAATTCAACTTATTTTTTGGCCTGCAGACTCTAGTTTCAGTTGCAGGTATCTAAATGGATGAGCAAGATCAAACAGGTAGGGGTGTTTCACTTATAGTGGGGTCAGTGGGGGGTCACTGTGGACTATTTAAGTGTTCCAATGGGGTCAGGTGTGATCATTAAGTTGAAGTCAGTGGATATTAATGACAATCACCAGGAAGTCAATGAAAAGACAGGAAAAGTAATTTGGGGGTGATTAGGATTTAGTGTTTAGTCAGAAGTTAAGGAAGTGCTTGTTGCACAGTGAATGCCAATGGAATTATCACTGGTGTTTTGTGGATCAGCATGGCTTGTTGGAAACTCAGGGAGGTGGCATTACAGAAGTATCCATGAACTTGTAGAAAACAGATTGAGGGAGTCCTGGAGGTTCTCTGAATCCTTGAGTTGCTAATGGCAGTCATCTGGGCCAGGGATGCCAGAAGAAATGCAGGTCAATGAGGGATCAGGAAAGGTCTCTGGACTATGATGTTAGTGGTTATCACTGGAGGTTAATGGTCAGTAGGCGCAATGGCAGCACTGAGGAGTCACTGGGCCATCTATGGTAGTAAGCAGGGATAGGATGGCTGATCCCTCAACTGGAATCTCTCTGCCTTGCTAGCTGGGGATCTTCTGTCCAGGCAGGGGCTGAGTTGAGAGTCTGCCTGACTGGAGTGGCTGGTCAGGAACTGTCTTCCCAGAAGGCAAGATCATGGTTAAGGTATCTTTCTCATAGGATAAGGTTTGTCTTACTGGTGGAGGATAAGTCTGTCCAGCTAAAGGCTGACTAGGTGGTGGATTAGATGTCTTTCCACAGAGGTAACAACCTCTCATTGTCAACTTGGGGAGGGGTTCTCTCATCTGCTTGGAATTTGGGGTCCAGCTTCCAGTCACCTGGGGGAGGGGGTCTATATTTCCCCCTGGCCACAGATCTATCTTGATATCTGTCTGTGGTGGGGGGAAGGTGTACCTTCCATCTGTGCAAAGATCTTCATTTGGCTGTCCAGCTGGAAGTTTATTGCTCTGGGATTCTGTCTGTCCATCTGAAAGAATGTCTAGGGTTGGTTGAATGACTCAGGAGCTGCAAGATTGGCTAGATACTGCTTTGTGGCCTATGAAAATTAAGTGCCTGGAGCTTTATCTGTTAAGTCATGCTACCAGCTGGATTGGGTGTCTGTCTTTCTGACCATCCCACCCTTACTCCCTGACATCTCTCATTTAACTCACCCACCCTCCTGATGTCTGGCTCTCCTTCCATGTCTCCCCAAATAGCCCAATGCTTTTGGCCTGCTGGGTGTGAATGCTAAGACCCCAGGCTGAGTGTCTCAAGCTTATCCCAGAGACCACCCCCAGCAGTCCTGGCCCTCCCAGGGAGTTCCAGTTATGCTCTTGAAATGTGACTTGTTGCTGCTAGTGGTCCTTCAGCTGGCAGCAGTTCCCTGCTGTGAGAGCAGCTGCACTTCTGTGTGCTTTCTTCATGGGCCATTCAGCAGAGCTGAGGACTGGGTGTTGGTCAGTGCCTGGGGATGCCTGTGCAGTGCCGGGATGGGTTCAGCCTATGCTGATGTGATGTTTCAAAGAGGAAAGGAGAAACTACAGTGAAGGAACCCAGGAAGATATCCCACCCCCTCAACTCAGGAAGCATGTGAGATTTTTTTTCTGACTATTGACATTTCTACTGTATTTCTCTGGCTTCCTTGTTATGAGGGAAAAAGGCACAAGAAACATGAAAGTTGTTTTTCCACAAATCCCTCTGTTAAAAACCTACAGGCTGAGTGAGCTGTCCCATTGGCCCACTCACAAGTCTGGCATTTGGCAGATAGGCGAATGGTCCTCCTCTCCAATTGTAAGCAGGTACTTGGGTCCAGCAAGTACCTGGGAACTCAGTTCCTCTGTGAGTTTTTGCTAAGCTTCTCCTTATTTTAGGGGTTTCAGGTTTTAGTGTTCTGCAAGGATTCCCTCCCTGTGAAAGGGATCAGCAGCTCAGAACTATGGGAACACAGCCCAAGGTGAAAGTCATTCTGCCCCTCTGGCCCTCCTGCCAATCCCCTGTCCTCTTTGAGGAGGATGGGTTACTACCCTTAAGACCTGCCCTGCAATTCTGCTTTAGGAAAGGGGGAAACTCTTGGAATAAATATAGAGGAGTACGCCCTCTTTTCCACCTTAAAAAAAGACATCCTTAAATGTGTGGACCAACTTTTCCCCAGGCTAGCCACCTTTCCAGGAAGAGCCTGGGTATCTCCATGGATACAGTAGGCTCCAGACATTTTCTGTGGAGAACATGCACTCAAGATAGACCCTGGATGTCCCTGGCAGCTGGTTGGAAGCCTGTGTTTTTGGTCTGCAGTTGATATACCTGTGCACACTTTCCCTTTGTGTGGTGGTGCTTTATTTAGAACAGACCAACCAGTCATTATTTGCAGCTCAGGCTGGCTGAAGTCCTGCAGTTTAGGGCCCTCTGTAGTCAGTGAATGCAGAGCCACTGGTGTCATGAACAACCAAAGGAAGACCTAAATCTGTCTGCTGAATCTGGCCCCCTAATTGTGAGAGAAATCATGTAACTCCATATTTGGGTGTGTGTAAACCTGATTCGGAGGTACCTTCACTGCTGCTACTGACCACGGTGTTCTGCAATGCAGTGTTGCAAGGAAAAAGGAAGGTTCTTTCAGAAACACTAACTGGCATATGGTATTATCATCTAGAAAGTTCTGGATAACCCTGGGAAAAACCATAAGAACTTACAGGAATAATCCAGTAAGGCACACAATGGCATGTTTATGTCATTTCCCCATAGCCAAAGAGTAATAAATTTGAAACTGTAATACAAAAAAAAAGATTTCAGATTAATTTCTTGAGAAATAGACCTCAAGTTTGATACCCCTAGTAAATTAATAGAGCTAAACAATGATAGTGTCTGCTAACATAGCAAAATCAATGCCCTAATGTTATAAGCCTTTTAGTGAAAGAAGACAGTATGCCTGTCAAACATTCTTGACAAGAAATATCAAACCTCTGTCTGGATTGAGCCTTTAGATCTAAACATTAAGAGGAAACATAACTGCACATGAAAATGTTTTGAAATGACACCTCAGACTGAAAACTGAGGACAAACCAGTTTCCCAACTAAATAAATTGCAAAGAAAAAATTTTAAAAACACAATCTTGGAAGACACTTAGAACAGATGCTCATAAAAAGCCCAAATTTCATCAACTGATGAATGGAGGTGTTGGGGTGTATACACATAAGAGAATCTTATTTAGCAATAAAAAGTAATTAAGTACTAACATAAGCTACAATATAGATGAACTCTGAAAATATAACTGAAAAAAAGCCAGCCAGAAAAGAGGGCAAACTGTATGATTCCACTTACATGAAACAATCAGAATAGGCAAGTCTGTAGAGACCAAAAGTAGATTAGTGGTTATCAGGGGATAGGGGTACAGTTGGGAGGACTGGAGAATAACAGCTGATGGGTATGAAGTTTTTCTTAGCAGGGGACAAAAATGGTCTAAAATTAGTTTGTGGTGATGCACAACCCTGTGAAAATAATTTTAAAAACCACATTGACCTATCCCTGGCTCCTTCCACTCAGCAATAGAGGGCAAATCGCTCAGCAGCAGCTCCTCTTTTCTGCGCTGTGAAGAGGTTGCTACAGCCCACTATTCCAGCCTGTCTGAGCTCATACTGAATCTCTGTTTTGTTCTTTAACATATTTGATACACATATACTGCCAATTTTGAGCTACCATGTGCTAGGGGTGAAACTTAGTATCCAGATCAGATGGGTGGAAACATTCATACAAACCCACAACCCAAGCCACAGCACAAGGAGAAATTCACTTACTAAAAAGACCCCCATAAGACAGTGGAAGAGATATCCTGCCCAATTAATGTGTAAACTTCAACAGAAATACAACTATAATCAGAAAATAAGGCAATAAGATGCCTCCAAAAATTCCCAAGTCCCCAGAAGCAAATCCCACAGATAGTGATAAAATTCTTGAAAAGAATTTAAGAAACTGACAGTTAAAATGATCAATGAGCTCAAAGGCCCTCTATGAAAAATCAACAGCCGATATCACACTAAAAGATCAAAAACTGAAACCCTTCATGATAAAATCAGGAACAAGACAAGGACGTCCACTATCACCACTCCTGTTCAGTATAGTTCTGAAAACAATAGCCACAGTAATTAGACAAGAAAGAAATAAAAGGAATAAAGATAGGAAATAAAGGTAAATTGTCATTATTTGTGGATGACACATGCTACTCTATAGAAGACCCCCAAACTCCACCAAAAGTCTTCTAGACTTAATAAGCAAATTCAGTACAGTAGCTGGATACAAGGTCAACACACTAACATCAACAGCCTTCCTGTACAGCAACAACAGACTCACTGAGGAACTGGAGAAAAAACTCCTTTTACAAGGAGTTTTCATCCAAAAAAATGAAATACCTGGGAATCAATCTAACAAAAGAAACCAAAGACCTCTACTCTGAAAACTACAGTACACTGAAAAAAGAGATCGAAGAGGATATCAAAAAATGGAAAGTTATCCTTTGCTACTGGGTAGGAAGAACCAATATAGTGAAAATGGCCACACTTCCAAAATTGCTATATAGATCCAAAGCCTTCCCAATTGAAATGCCAACAGTATGCTTCACAGACTTTGAGAAAACAATCCAAAAAATCATTTGGGAATGAGAAGAGACCCAGAATAGCAAAAGCAATTCTAGGCAACAAAGACAAGGTAAGGGGTATCACAATCCCCAACTTGAAACTATACTACAAAGCTACTGTGCTAAAAACAGCATGGTACTGGCAAAGAAACAGACCTGAGGATCAGTGGAACAGATTACAAGATGCACAAACAACTCTAGACATACTCAGCCACCTCATCTTTGACAAAGGAGCCTAACACCCTCACTGGAGGCAAGATAGACTCTTTAATAAATGGTGCTGGACAACTGGCCATCAACTGGAGACTGCATAAAGAAGATTTTTTTTTATAAAATGGAGTACTACTCAGCCATAAAGAATGAAAACTAGAGACATTTACAGCTCAATGGCTGCACACTGAGGCCATGTTCTTAAGTGAAATAAATAGGACACACATGTAAATACCAAATAGTTTCTCTGGTGCATGAAACTGAAAGTGTAAATAAAGAGTCAAAATGTATAATAGATAAAGTGAAATAGGAAGAAAAGTTCTAAAGGGGAAGAGGAAGTGGGAGGAGTAGGGGAAAGGAAAGAAGGTAAAGGAAAAAAATGTAAGAAAAGGTAAAAATGGAAACAAAGTCTTTGTAAATAGGGAGGGTGGAGGGCTTGGAGGGCAGGGGATTGGGGAAAAACTAAGAACCAAGATGTATCATGTAAAGGTAGAAATTCCCAATGATGAATGTCATCATATTGTATACCTAAAATGTAATAATAAACTTAATGAAAAAATAAATTAAAATTTAAAAAAAGAATTTAAATGCCTTCATATGCCTTATAACCTTCACTTGCTACATTTGAAATAAATCATTTATATATAAAAAACGGTGCTGGAAAAATTGAGTTTCAACTTGCCAAAGATTAAAATTAGACCTAAATATCTCACTATGCAGTAAACTAAAATCGAAATGCATCAAAGATCTAAACATTAAAACAGAAACACTAAACTGGCTGGAAGAGAGGTTAGGTAGAACTCTTGAAGACAATGGTGTGGGTAAAGATTTCATGAACAAAACCTCAGTCACACGTGAAATAGCTATTAAAAAGCTTCTTCACAGCAAGAGAAACCACCAACAGAGTGAAGAGAGAACCCAAAACGTGGGAAAAAATTTTCACCAGCTGTTCTTCCAGACAAAGGTCTACTATCTAGAATATATATAGAACTTAAAAATATCAGACCTCCCAAATTTAAAGACCCAATACAAAAATGGGCATATGAAATGAACAGACATTTCTCAGTCAACGAAGTAGAAATAGCAAATAAACATATGAAAAAGAGTTAAGCATCACTGATTATTTGAGGGATGCAAATGAAAACAATCCTGAGATTCCACCTCCCTCCAGAAGGAATGGCTGCTATCAAGATATCAACCAATAACAAACGCTGGTGGGGCTGTGGGGAAAAGGGAACCCTTCTCCACTGTAGTGGGAGTATAGAATGTTGCAACCACTGTGGAAATCAGTATGCAGATACCTCAAAAAACTAGAATTAGAGGTCCCATTTGACCCAGCTATTCCCCTGCTGAATATCTCCCCCAAAGATTTACAAGAATCATACTACAGTGATATATGTGCACCCATGTTTATACTGGCACAGTTTGTAATAACTAAAACTTGGAAACAGCCCAATTGCCCATCAACTGGAGAATGGATAAAGAAGATGTGATATTTTTTAAAAATAAAATTGAGTACTACTCAGCCATAAAGAATGAGAAACTAGAGACATTTATAGGAAAATGGATGCACATTGAGGCGCTACTCTTAAGTGAAATAAATAGGACACACACATGTAAATAGCAAATAGTTTCTCTGGTGTGAGAAACTGAAAGTGTAAATAAGGATCAAAATGTGTAACAGATAATGTGAAATAGGAAGAAAAGGTCCAAAGGGGAAGGGGAAGTGGGAGGGGTAGGAGAAAGGGAAGAAGGGAAAAGAATAAATAGGAGAAAAGGAAAACATGGAAACAAAGACTTTGTAAATAGGAAGGGTACAGGTGTTGAAGGGAGGCCAGAGAAATAGGGAAAAAAAATAAGAACCAAGATGTATCATGTAAAGGTACAAATTCCCAATGATGAATGTTATCATATTGTATGGCTAAAATGTACCAATAAACAATGAATAAAAAAAAAAGATGTCAACCATCTGCAATGAATGGTTCTAATTTGGATCCTTGTTCAAATAAACATAGTACAACAGAGACTAAACTTTAACTGAGTATTTGATAATTTAATGAAATAACTATTGATAAATTTAACTGTGATAAGGTTATTAAGTGCTTCTTAGTGATAAATAAAAATATTTATGATGAGATGATGTGATACTTGGGATTTGCTTTAAAATACAGTGATAGAATAGACATAAGGACTGTGCAGGGATCCAAAGGCCAAGACCTCCCAACATTGAGACTGGCTTCTCTGTACCATCCTGTTTGCTCTTGCAAGTTTGAAATTTCCCACAACTAACTGATTGAGAACAATCAATGCAGAGGTGAGCAACTGTTTCTACAGCGAAAGTGAGCTGATGGTCACAGAAAACATGCAGAAATACACAAAGGTGGCCAATAAGTACTTGAAATGATGCACAACCTCTGTCATAATTAAACACACAGGGTGAGTACAGTACAATGAGATATTCTGAAAGAAAGAAAAACCATTACTCATGTCATTTTTTATCACAACTTTTATTTTAGTCAATAGTGACGACCTCTAGAGAGTAAGGGTGAATTGCTAGAAGTGGAGGGAGGAGAAAGCTGGTTAATTTTTCATTGTGCACATTTCTGTATTTTTCTAACATGAGGATGTGTTAATTTTAACTTTATAATTAGGACTAGGAAAAAACATCCAAGTGTCCCTCACCTCCCACTGTGAAGAAAATGATGCAGAGAACGCAGAAAGTAGCTCACTGGGATCACTAGGTAAATGAAATGTTTATACAAAGTAACAATAAGGGGAAGGGGGATGCAAACATTCAGATCAAAACACTATCCAAGACATAAGGAATTCAAACAACTCAACAGCCAAGAAACAAATATCCAATTTAAGAAATGGGTAAAGGTCCTGAATAGACATTTCTCCAAAGACAATATGTAAATTACCAATACTTATATGAAAAAAATGCTCAACATCACTAATCAGGGAAATGCAAATCAAAACCACAATGAGACAACACCTCACATAGGACAGTTATTAAAAAGAACAAAAGAGGGCCAGGAATTTAGCTCAGTGGTTTCGCTGCCTGCTACACAAGCACAAGGACCCGAGTTTGATCCCCGGTACCAAAAAAAAAAAGAAGACTCCATTTTGGGAGGGGGTTGTGTAAGACTGAGACACAGAACAACTACAGAACAACTCTACTTTAGTGTTTCAGTGTTATCCTCCCAGTGACTGGGTGACAGGCAGCCATGGTAGTCAGCTGCAGAGAAGGTACAAGCTAGATCAGGAAGGACATGATGCTGCTCTCCATTATGAGAAGCCAGACCCTGCAAGTGTGACTTTCAAAGGTGGCTGGATCTGAAAGTGCTGGCATTAGGTCCATCAGTCTGTGAATCCTTCACCCACTCCTTACATCCAGTGAGACCAATGGCCTGATTGCTCTTCCCATCTATCAATGTGAGCAAGGACATACCTTGGCTTACATAGCTGACACATAGTCTGGGGTGTAAGAAAGAGGGGCCACCTCACAAACCCATAGGTCATGAAGCTAGGCAGAGAAAATCATGACTTGCCGGAGTCCAAGACTGCAGATCTTGGAAGAAACCACTCATTCAAAAATAGAGGAATTTCTTTTAACTCAGATTTTATTTCTCCTTCATTGGTTTTTTGGGGCCTGGGGGTTTTGCTTTTTCTTCTCCTTTTAACTTTTTCCTTTTGTTTTCCTTTATTTTACTGTTCTTTTCTGTTACTTTCATCTAACACCATTAATTTCCTTTGACTCAAAAGGATTCTCTCACTTTTCTCTCATCTTCCAATGATTTTTAAAATTCTGCTTTTTTCATTCTTTGGTTCTCCACCCCTTCCGTCTTTACTATTATAACAATAGGGTTTATGACTCTTTGGATAGCTAGCTAACTATATTTTTACTATTGGATACTGTTTTATTATTAATGGAGGAATTGTTGTTGCATTTAGTAGATATTTACTGTATGTCAATGTTTGGTTTGTCTTAGTGTTTACAGTATACCCCATCCAAGTTGTGGTTCAGAATTCATGGACTCAGATTTTTCCTTATAACCTAACTAATAATTGTTCATGGAAACTCCCACAATTTCGTGGAAACTGCAAATATTCTCCACCGTTGCTTTTTTTGGTGGGAGGTTTACAAGTAGCCAATCTGAGAGCGTTACTCAGTTCTCCTTGCTGCCGACTGGCTGCTGCCATTACCCATTTCAGGCATATGCACCAGCA